AGAGGAAGCAAGTGATGTGGACTCATTGCGACTTCAAGATCTAATCGGAAATCTACAGACTTTCGAAAACAAGTTGAACATCAGCAGAATGGACAAGGAGAGAAAATTGCCTTACAAACTGTATCTGCCTCAACACCATCTGTGTCCACTGTTTCTATGACAGCACTTGAAGTCCAGCTAACAAAATCCATGTCACTGATAGCAAAAAACTTCGGGAAGTTCGTGAAAAGGAATGGACATCCTACAAACTTCGAAAGAAAACCCAGGAATCTTATAGATAAACAAGAAGTCGGGAAGGGAATTCGATGTAGAGAATGTCATGGGTATGGTCATACCGAAGCAGAATGTGCAAACACACTGAAAAAGCAAGAAAAATCCCTTGCCACAACTTGGAGTGATGACAACTCAGAGTCTGATGATGAGAGTGAAGTTAGTGATGATGAAACTAGCAACGATTTCTGTGGAACATGCAGAATCACTGAAGACACATCAGATGATACTATATGCACTGAACCACCATATCTTAGGTATGTCATGCATAATAATGAGGATCATAAAAATTTGAATACATCTTTTCGGTCCACATGGACCGATGAATCAAAGGATGATGGTGAACACTGTATCCAGTTGAATGATTTTCTAAAACAATGTCATGAAGTTGGTGATGAAAACAGAACCTTGAAAGAAAGAATCAAGGAACATGAGGAAGAAAATGAAGCTGTTAAAAAGAAGCTGAAGGACAAAATCGATGAACTTGAGATGGAAATTGAAGTCTTTGAACTAGAACAGGACTTTGCTCAGAGAGACATTGACAATATGAAAGACCTGTTAAAGTATTGGCAGGATTATGATGGTGAAAGAGCAAAGAAGATGAGGAAATTTTTTTTTTTCAAAAATACAGTCCGAGCATGATCAACAACACATTCCGCCACTTGTTGCAACAATGTCTGAAGCTCCAGTTAGTAAGTTGAATCGTACTGCATTTCTTTCCTCAAATAGATTAGATGAAATCATAAATGCTCATCCTTCTAATCCGAAGAAAGTTGGTCTCGGATATACAGGAGGACAGTCTAATGTTAACACTGGTTTGAACCAGAGAATTAGATTCGTCAATCCCACCTCACCTCGTGTGACCACCCAAACTCATGCAACTAAGTTTGTTCCAACTTGTCACTTCTGTCACAAATTGGGGCATGTCAGGCCTAAATGCTTTAGAAGATGGAAACTGATTAATAAACAGTTAGCATACCAATCATCCAATTCCGCTGCGTGGGATACCTATTCCCAAAGAAAAAACTCTAATACAAAATGGATGACTAAAAATAGTACAAGCTGTTGGTCGACTATCTTATCTTTAAATGCATGTGCTACTAACTCTTGGTATTTTGATAGTGGATGCTCCAAACACATGACAGGTGAAAAGAACTACTTGAAAATTTTGCATAACATGTCTAGTGGAAATGTCACTTTTGGAGATGGAATTAAAGCTTACGTGAAAGGAAAAGGGGACTTGAGCGTTGGAGGATTACCAAATCTAGACAATGTTCTGTATGTGGAAGGTTTGAAGTCAAACCTCTTGAGTGTAAGTCAGCTGTGTGATCTATACGACTCAGTATTGTCACAAAGGGTAAGTGTGAAGTGTTTGATGAAAGCAAAATGTGTGTTCTAACTAGTTACAGATCATCAGACAATAAATACAAAATTGATCAGATAGATCAATCAGACCAATGTCATCACACCACCTCTGATCTCACTGATCTGTGGCATCACAAACTAGGTCATTTAAATTTTCATGATCTAATCCGTCTTGTTAATGCAGGTTGTGTGAAAGGAGTACCACAACTAAGCTCTAACACACCAGAGTCATGTGGTGACTGTCCGTTGGGGAAACAAGTGCGGACATCTGAGCTTATTGCAAAAACTACCCCTGTGAAATCTCTAATTCGCAAATACCCCCCTGTGGAAAAAAATGTGACCAACTCCCCCCTGTGTTATGAATTACAAAGCTCACCGCACCCATTGCTTTTTTAAACATTGACCGCGTGTGAAACTACCATTATACCCCTCAATGAAATAAACAGCAGTAAACCCATTTTCACTCTCTCGGTAAACCTATTTCACTCTCGCTCCCAAATTACACCGACCTCTGAAAACCCTAAAACACGATTCCCCAAAAAAATTGTGAATCTGCTTGTGAAAAAATGTTTTTTGCGTCGATTGAAACTTGAAATAGCTTCCCCTCTCGTCGATTGAAGGCGCCAAGAAGTCATATTTGAGATACGGAGTCAATTCGCATTGAAGAGAAACAAGAATTAAGGTTTGTAGTATTCTGTCTTGTTTGTGTTATTTGAAAAAACCACATTTTTTTTTCTCGATAACTAGAGTTGTGGGAATGTTAAAGTATGTAAGCTTTTGTATTTGTAGGGTTTTGTATATTATATTCGTGAGTTGGGAACTTTTTGAGAAATGCTACATTTAATATTTTAGTTTGTGGGGATCTGTTTTTTTGTTTGCTTGTCTGTAACAACAAGATTTTTTGCTTTGTAGGGTTTTTTTAATTATTTTTTGGTATCAGTTTTTTATGAGCATTTTTTGTTGTCTTATTGTTTGAATTGAAAGCTTTAAAAAAATGGTGTGGGGTATGTAGAAGTAGGGCACTTTGTTACTTTGTTGGTGAACTTGCAAAGTAATAATAATAATTAATTGAACAATTGTGTTTGACTGTTTTTACCATTTTTTTATGCAGAATGAACAAGTTGTGTACAGTTACTATTTGGTTGAATGGTAAATTTGTCCATACACCCAAACTGGCTTATGTAGGTGGCAAAATGGAAGTAGTGGATCGAATTTGCTTAGACTACATGAACCTAGATAACCTATTCCAGATATATTGTATGAGTGGGGGGAAAAAACTAATATTCAGTTCTACTTTGTTTATCCTGGGCTATCACTTCATGAGGGATTGAGGATGATTGAAGATGATATTAGTATCCAATTCCTAGTGTCAGCACATGAAGACTTAGACCACCTAACATTGTACACATAAGAGAATGACAGAGAACCTTTAATTGCAATTGATGTGAATGGAAATGTGATTGTGGATAGAGGGGAACTCTCCTGCTTAAGTACAATGAAGGGAATACAAGAGAGACAGTAGAGACTGTAACATTGAAGTGATGCACCAATGATGAATATGGGACACAAATGAATGAAGATGAGGCACCACTGAATGAAGAGAAGGCACTGGATGAAAATGAGAGAGCAATGACTGAAGAGGAGGCAACACTGAATGAAGAGGAGGAAAATGAGACACCAATTACTGAAGATGAGGCAGCACTGAATCAAGAGCCACTGAATCCAGATGAGGCACCACTGAATGAAGAGGAGGCACTGGATGAAAATGAGAGACCAATGACTGAAGAGGAGGCAACACTGAATCAAGAGGAGGAAAATGAGACACCAATTACTGAAGATGAGGCAGCACTGAATCAAGAGCCACTGAATCAAGAGGAGGCACCGATGAATGAAGAAGAGGCAACACTGAATGAAGAGGAGGCATCACTGAATGAAGATGAGCCATTTAATAAAGAAGATGCACCAATATTTGAAGATGATTCTTCAGATGAAGATTATGTTCAATCTGACAATGAAGATGGTGATGATGATATACCCTCTGATGCCCCAAGTGAAGAGTTTGCTGACATTGAAGGCTCCTCTGAAGATGATATCTTTTTGGACAGAAATTCAAGTAAGAAAGATCTAGCTAGAAAACTGAGGCAAATGCTGAACAAGGAAAAGAGGTCAGTCCAGAGGTATAAAAAATGCAGAGTCAATCCATCTCAACAGACCACTGATTGGTATAGTGATGTTGATGATGAAGATGCTATTGAAAATCTGAATTTCTTAGACAGTGAGAGGAGAAGAGTTCCTAGTTTCAGTGAAGGGGAAACAATGAAAAACAGAAATCTTGAAGTTGGTATGAAGTTTCCAAATGTAGACATTTATAGGCAAGCACTTATAGATTGGGTTGTTAGAAATGGATATGAACTGGAGTACTTAAAGAATGAAAGGACAAGAGTGACTGCAACATGCAAGGAAGAGGCTTGCAAATGGAGGATCCATGCCTCTGTTGTTCAAGGAAGTCAAATGTTTCAGGTATTGTGTTTTGTTTTGGTTTATGTTTCTTCATTGTTTTCTTTTGATCCCAATGATATTAATGAATTTATATGTTATTGTTAGAGTAGGTGACCAACAAGCCAACCTGTGGCTGTGGTCTTTCGTATTTATTATTGTAATAAACGAACCTTTATTCGTATTAATGATAAAACACCTTGGCATTCTATATCTTTGTCCCTTTGTCACAAGCATAGATATAGTCCTTACAGTTATTACAAGTACTAGTGATTGATCGTTAGGATCGTGAGATATTTACTTAAGTATTATAACTGTTAAACGTGTTCCTAGTCGAAGGGTTACGCCACGAATGAGGATATCGGCCTTTCCCATTAAGACTAGCACTTAGTGTATGTGTACTGCATCTCATCAGTAAACGGTATTGTGATATCGGCATGCATAAGTGGGTGCTCGTAAGTTGACGAGTTCACTGAACTCCCTCACCCTAGAAATCTCTAAGTGGTTCCCAATAATCGAGTAGAGATATCTATGGTATAGTTGTACACCATTAGTCCTTATGACCCAGACATCACCGTGACTTCACTAGAGGACCAGCTGTATCGTGACCTGTCCCTGAGTTCCACCGAGGACCATCCCAAGGGCCAGTGTTCGTGCAGTCCGAAATCTAGTGGGAGGTCTGTGCATTGTAGTCGGGGATTCGATCGCTAGAATAGTCTTGGATGTCCTGTGTGTTCTGAAAGTTTGTAATCATTCTAAGTTTCTGGCCAGAGCTGACTAAGTGATGATTAGAGAATTTGATTCTCTAAGTCATGCACGTGACGATTACAACACTTGGAACGATCGCACCGTCATCGAACATATAAAGAGGTCTCGATGAACCAATGCCTCTAGTTCGATCGGGACATATGAATCGAAGGGACCGTACTGTACGTTAACTATATCTGAAGGTTCTTGCAGGCACTTCATTTGTATCGACCAGGCTAGTCTCGCCGCCTTCTGGCCTTTTTTTTCTT